GATGTTTCCAGGGTTGTATTAGCCCTATTTCTTTTTAGACCAGCAGGCCAATCTCGAATTACCTTTCCTTTTGTCTTTTCCTTTCTTGTCAAAGATGTATCGATAACTAAATCTGCCATATATACTTCGCTTTCCTTGATTTTTCCATGTCCTTTATTTGTTTTGACACTATCAACTTTATTTCAGGGGTTGATTCCCAAATGTTTGATCAAAATAGATTGATTGTTATCATATGCTTTATAATTCCATGAGTCAAAAGATCTTGAACTAGTCGTTTGAAGTTGCCACAATTTTCGATGGAGTGTCCTCGGATTCCAGCATGATACTCATAAAAGACTTTTTCATTATACCATCTTAGGTAAAGAGGTATCAAAGGTTTAGCTAGGCATGAGCAATAAGCACTAGTAGAAAAAACCCTTTAATGACGCGCATTGCGCGTCATCTATGGGTGCGGATACACACATTTGCCTGTCGTTGAAGCCACCGACATAAATTTAAGATGACGCACAACTGTGCATCATAAATTTATGACGTGCATTTATGACGCACATTTATGACACTCATTGCGCGTCATTGAAGCCCCCGTCATAAATGAAGACGACACACATTTGTGTGTCATAAATTTATGACACTCATTTATGACTTACATTGCGTGTCATTGAAGCAAACATCATTAGAAAAGATGACACACATTCGTGTGTCGTGATGTCGTATGTATATATATATATATATATATATATATATTGTAGATTGATAATAATCAAACTAAATCACATTTGATGCCTCATAATACTAAATATATATATCATATTATATATAAGCAATCCATTTGCATACAATATATTAACATTAAGTTATCAAAAATATTGTAATCATATGTCGATACAAAATATCACGGCATAATAAAGTTTTCCACATAAGATACCCATTCTTTGCGAATATCAAACATGTTGACATTGCGGGAGATGCAACTCCTCTAGCTTCTTCTGCAATTTTGAAGTTGCTTCTTCAGAATCGAGAACTCTTGAAACAGGCTACGAATAAGCATTGGCTTCAACTGAACTAATAGGAACATCAGATGCACCAGCTATTCCCGAACCCTTCCCAAAATTAGAGTTGATCACCTTTGGTTTCCACTCTTTATTTGAACCAACTGCTGATGACATATATGAATTAATACTTTGCATATATTAATCAAGAATCAACTATCTTCAGGTGAGAACATAAAGTAGTCCAAACATTTGTAAAGAGCAAACATTTTCATTTATGGTTATCAAGTCATCACTCATCACTAAGTAATAGTAAAAGAACGAAAAATCAAGTAAGTAAGGTATCTTAAGCTTTAAAAGCATTATTTTTCATTTCTCACAGTTACACTGTTATTTAAGGGGATACTTTAAAAGCTTCAATATGTCTTATTCATCATAAAATCCCATTTTTCTCCATTTAGCATCCAACAAGAAAGTGAAAGTAACAATTGCATCATCTAGAACTATTGAATCTACAAGACAAAAAACTCGACAATCATTTTTTGACCTTTTATCACCACAAGAGAGTTCTTATTGATCCTCATTATTCCACCTTCAGCAGTTTACTTGTACCCTTTTTCATCTAGAGTACTTGAAAAAAATCAAATTTCTCTTTTAAGTCTAGTACGTGTCTCACATTATCCACGAGAGGCATTATTCCCCAATATAATTGTTCCTTTATACATTGATTCAGTTATCAAAAACTAGTCCCGATTGTGACATGCTTAACACGTGTAATTAGAATCAAGAATTCACTCATTACTTACAACAGGATCTATTAATAGAAGCAACTAACAATAAGTTTACCATCAATGTAATCTTACACTACGTTAAATTCACAAGGTGGTAACTAGAAGTCTAAATAGCATTCAACTATAAGTTTTTCAGCAGAAATAAAAAGAGCTTGACAATTCTTATTAATATGAATAGACAAGATGTTATCATAGCTGAATTTCCAATAATAGCATCCTACTTCAAGTTAGTTGTATGACTAATGTGTATGTATAATATGACAGATGTGTATCAGAAAAGTTTGCTTACATTCTTATTGACCAGCACTTCAAGTCCGTTCTCGACTATCTCTTCAATGAACTTACAAACATAATATCCACACTCGATACCTCCCGACTGACGGGGACACTACAAACAGTTTACAATAAACGATTAGTCAAAATGAAAGCTGAAATTTAAATAAGGAATGGTCGATCGAAGTCCTCACCAAAACATTGATCCAATTGAGACAAACCCTTTTGTTAGATCCACTTTGAGCAGTGTACAATTTCATTGCCCTATAAAAATTGATGAAATATATAAAAAAATATACTATAATGTTTCGATAACTATGGCCGATACCGGAATACATAGGCTCCTAGTACTCCTGCTACAAAATAGATGATAGACAATAACCAGATCTTAACACCTAAACAATAATAAGGAAAACACAACATAATCACTATGTTATATTAAGAAGAAAAACAAGACATGGAAGCATATAACTAAATTAACCTTCCCCTTTGATCCATGTTGTAGCAACGGCTATGATGTTCCACAGAAGGTATAGAACCAATCCTGCATAGAATCACTGAATTGTCTCCAGTCCATGGTTTACACCAAAGCCATTTTCAACTAAAGAGTTAACAAAATAAAAGCATGGTACAAAACATTACCCAATGCAATCTAGCAAAGAACTAACAGTATAAAATTAAAGCATGGTACACATAATTAGTCAATGCAATTTAGCATGGTACAAATGAAGGCATGATACCTAGATGTATGCATAGAATCCTAAAAAGGAAAATATAGGAAAAACTTACATGCCTAAAAAATGTCAAAAATGCAACATACTGCAATCTTTGTAGATGAATTGAAATTTTACTGGCAATATCATGATGAATGATTGGAAAAAATGGTGGCCAATTTTTCTCTTCCACAATAATTCCAGCTATAAAGTAGAAAAGTGAAATTGTAGTTCATGACATAAATGAAGTTTTGACCATAAAAAGAAATAAAATAAGGTCAAAAATTTTGCAAAAACGTATAAAGTAATCTAGACCAAATACTGAAGCTGAGAACAAAACGAAATGTGATCACTGAGACTAGTTAAATAAATGAAAATGAAAGGTACATCTTGCCACTGCCTCTTCTTTCTGCCTCACTTCCTTTAAGGAGTAAGCTTACCAATGAAATTGTAGGGATGCTACGATCTTTCATGCTATTTATTTGAGAAATAAATGTGCAAGAATGTGAACTTGAAGCCTAAAACCATCCGAATGACTTAGTACACTAAAATAGATCGAGAAACACATGATATTCAACCAACAACCTGATAAAGTATCCTAACAGTATTTTATGATACTAGGTTACTGGGATTATTGAGATAAATTTTTTCTTTCATTACATTAAATTCTAAATAGGTCGATGATACATCTTTGGAAGAGAAATGAGAGAGAATAAGTAAATCTATGATTCAGTAGATCACAAATGAATTCAATGTTGTAAAATCTATTATACAACATGCTTGTTCCCGCCTTTTCAGTTCTGCTTCCTTAGCCTGGACTTTCTTGTTTAAATCCTACATTTAAATAGTAAACTAGGAAAGTGAGATTCAGGGCTTAACTGAATAATGTAAATGAAATTTAGAGACATTTCTTTACCAACCTGATTATGTGATCCTCCTGAAGCTGTATCAAGAGGAATATCAATTGTAGCCCCACGGTCATAACTGAAACCGGCAGGTTCGAGAGGTAACGGTGAAAGTCTTGAGTTTGAGGTAGGTGAAACACTTGTAGTACTCTGAAAATTATTGACAATACGCATTCAAGAAGCAGGTAATATAAGCAACTATTCTAGTATACAGTTATTGATAAGTGATATTAAAAATCAATATTAGAGATGACCAAATCAAAAAAAATATAGCAAGGAAACTATTTTTTCAGGACTAAGTCATCATAAACCTTGGTTAAAATGAAACCTCACTCCTAAACCTCTCTCAGGCCCAGAGTTATAACTACAAATTTTGCATTCACTAATAGATCTGGCATTTCAACATACGAGGGATTTAAAAGGGTTGTTAGCAAGTATGACCTTAACAGAAACCACAATCTTTGCCCTTCATTCTAGCAGGTTCCTCGCTATAAAGTGATGCATGTTCTCTAGCACTTTCTTGTTTTTGAACAACAACCTCATCACAAGTTTCACCTTAGAATTGTAATTTAAGGTATTAAATGAACTACATTTCAATAAGCTCCTTGTAACAATGAGAACATTATGCCAATATTAAAATTAACATAGGTAAAATTTTAGATAAGATAACAAAATTAATTTACTTACCCTTTGGTGTTTGCATCCGTGGACCAGAAGTCAGAGAGCGTACAACTTCCTGTATATCATTACCAGAATGGTTGCCAAGAGAAATTTGCGGTGATGGCCTCACTTTCCCCTTGTCTAAGTTCTTAAATGAAATCTCTCGAGACAAAGAAGATACTCCGTTGGGGCTCAATGATCTTGGTGATCCATCAACAACCTGCCTTTTTGGAGCTAAGCACCCTCTAGATTTTCAATATGTCTCTTACTTAAGATACGTGTACTTGAGATAAGTTTATTTTCCGTTTTTCCCTCAACATCCAAACCTTGAAATTCAATCGCAAAAAGATGTCAACACGTGATCTTATCTGGGTGTCATTTTTATTATCTGTTTGAAAACTAACCTTGCTTTTGTCTTTCAGTTTCCTCAGCCAACTTGCATTCTTCACAGAGCCAATCACCTTCAGAAACTTTTCGAAGCATTTCTCGCATAAAGTAACTGATCAATAGCATAATAACATAAAACTCACCACTTTTATCCAATGGGTTCTCGCTATTGCCCTCAATATTTTCTTCTAACTTGGGATGGATTTTGGGATAAATCTCAGATCTGCCTCCAACGACACTCTTGTTGCTTCCAGAATGTGAAGATGAAATTTGGATCATAGTTTAACTACCACCAGAACCTCCATCCTTCATAGAAGGAAATGACAAGTCTAGCTTCTGGGAAGAGGGCACCTTTTCGGATCCTAAACTACAAACTGACACTGAACTATGAGATGAATTATTACAGTCTAAATCCTTGTTACAATAACTAAAATCTATATTTCCATCACCGGCTCTACCAGCACATGAAATACTATCAACACGGAATTCAACAACTTTAGAAGACGATCTTGCAGTTGCTTTACTTTCAATATTTTCAGACAAAATAGAAATAAACAAAACCCTAAATGTTAGAATAGAGAATGAGAAATACATGTGAAAACCCTTGAATTCTGACTCCCTCGTCTGCGGTGAATGGCCAAACCAGTGGGAGGTTGCAAAGAGAAAAAGGGAAAAGGAGAAAAATGGGGAAGCAAGCGGAGTGAGGGAAGGAGCGAGAAAAGATGAAAATAATATAAGGGGAAAAATTAAAATATGACTTTTAAAGATGACACACAATTAAAACTGTACTCCGTTTTTACAAATTTTTTTGATTATGACTATTAAATATGACACATTATTGTAAGTCATAAATCGTTCAGATTTTAAAAATAACATTTTTTTAATGACACACATTTTTTGTAAGTCATAAATTAGCGTGTGTCATCATTCGTGTGTCATCATTAGTGTGTCATTAAAGGTATATTTTCTTGTAGTGAAGCTGGGCTTTGTGTAATTCGACATATAACTTGTTGCATGAGACTAAAGGAAAACGGGTAGAAATTCCCTTGACATCATTGTTTCTTTACCACTGCTTTCTTAAAGATCTTGTGATCGATAATCAAAATGTTTGCTTTGAACATTTGACTTTTAACCATCATCATGATAGAGACTATGATTTGAAGATTTTACTTTCTCAACCATCTTTGAGCTTCTGAGGATCTTAGGTTTTCTATCTTCAAAACATAACAATCCTTCTGCCATAAGGTCTTGGACTTTTAATTTCATAATTATTCAATTTTCTGTAGAGTGACCAAAATCTCCAGAATGATAACTGCATGGATTCTTGACATTTTGCCAATTTGGATGCAAATAAGTGCTAGGAGGAATAGGTGTTACAAGACCACTTTCAAAGAGAAAGGGTAACAATTCTGAATATGAGATTGGAATTGGAATGAGATGTGTCATCATTTTTTTCTTCTTGCCTTTTTTATTCTTTTTTAATGGGACTTGTTCCATGTTCTCTTCTTTGAACCAACTTTAATTTTCATGTCCTCTTTCATATCTCCCAATCCTTGAAGCTCAGTTGGTTTTCTGATTTCACTAACATGATCTTGGTCATTTTTCATCATATCAATAATTACATTATTGAAATCCAGACTTTTTTCCAATGCCTTCATTTTCTCATGCTCAATAGGGTCTTATAGCGTCTTCTCTCCATACAGTAGAGTAACCATCATACTCATCAGTTTAGACATTTGTTTTCTAGACTCATATTAGAACATTCTTGTTTATTCAAACATTTCTCGTTGAGTTTCTATAAGCTGCTCTTGGATTCTCTCAATCTTTCCAACTCGAGCTAATATTCCATTCATTATTTTGAATTTTTTTAAAGACCTGCCCCTATTTTCAGAACTCCTGATTCTAAATCTTTCACTGATTACTCCCGTGTCATATGTTATCATGTTATGCAGAATATGAATGTAAATACAAATATAAATGTAAATGTATGTATGAAAAGGTGTAATTCAAGAATGATCATTTTAAAACAGCTTCCATTGAACACAAAAAGGGTTTTTTTATTACATCCAAAATATCATTACATATAAGGGATATCTTTCTCTCCTAATTTCTCTATCTCCTTAAAAAGCCAAGTTAATTTCCATTTGTGCTCAGGAATTAATTCGTCATTCTGCTTTAATTCCCTTTAAAACCAGCTAAGTTTACCAGTTTGTGGGCCACCTTGCTTGCTTGGGTAGAAGCTTTCTTCATGTCATTATCTTTCTTTTGAATCCTACTTGTCATCTACTAAAATTATAAACAAATTGCCCATTTTCTTTCATAAGAGAGCCCTTGTGTTCAAGAAGTTCTTGTACTAGATCTCCATAATCATCTACCATCTTCATCAATGTGTGATTCTTGGCTCTAGTGGCTTTTAATTCAATATCCATCTCAAACTGGCTGAACTGATACAAGCTTCTATATTGGCTATAGTGTTCTTCAACATCTGGTTTTCATCTTAACATTTCCTAAATTGATGATGGTTGTATTTCACAGTTCCTAAACAATCTGTAAGTTATAGGAGAACTTCCTTGCTTGATCCTCATGCATCTTTTTCCAGTGATCAACATCACTCTTCAGTTTAATAATCCTGTCACCTATTCTTCTGGGGTATTTCCTAAGTCAGCATTCTTGAAGGTTTGAATGATTTTTCGAAAATCATTAAGCATGGCTTCAACCTCTATTCTCAATTTCTTGTTTTTGTCTTTCCAAAAACGGGCTTGAGCTTCATAAAAACTCTCTCCCTTGTGACTGCTTCTATTAATGCTCTTACCATAAAATGCTTTTGGTACCATTTAACATGGTCTTTATGTGTATAACCTTTCATTATTTTGAGAGCTTCCTCAATATACCCTTCTTTGGTTGTATCATAGTTTACTTTATCATGAAACCCTTTGTGCATAATGAAAACCTTTGATTTTGATGATCACTCTTGAATCAATACTCTTGATCATGTCATGATTATGAAATGCAATCAAAAGATCATATCTTAACCTCATGCTTTCTAGTTTCATACTTTGTTTAGAATAACAACCCTAACCACATAATTTCTAGTTCGCATGCATTATTCAGAAAATAAAGTAATACTAAATAAAAATAAAAGGCTCAACCTGTTTTTCCTTGTGTACTAATCTTAAAATACCTAATCAGGTTAGGTTTTGACTTGACTCAAGTTCTAGGTTTATTATATGCTGGGTTTTGGCTATAAGGTAAAAAGGGTCAACGAATTGTCCTTTTGTTGATGCCCCTTGGACTGCCAAACCCTCAATCCTGGTCCATTACAGACTTTCGAATTAAGTTCAATTCGAAGGAACACACTTCCTTATGTCCATACGAAGGTGAAAACCACACGAGGAATATAAGGTGTGAGCTCAAAGAATGGTCCCTATCCCATACGGAGGTGAAAACCACACGAGGAGTAGTTTCTCATTCGAACTAAATACGTTAAGAACGGGGTTTTAGCTCATGTCATGAATGCAGTGCACAGTGGGTGAGGAAAAACATAAAAGGATAAAATAATACAACCTATTACTTTATTCTAAATACTCAAAATTAAATATGTACACAAATAAAAAACAAAAGTTAGTATTAAAATTATTAAGGAAGAAAAACTAAATTTAAAACAAATTTATAATTTTATTGCAAAGACAAATAATTAATAAATTGGTGGCATGACTCTCTTTTAAAAAACCAAACTGTCGAGACGTTTCTCTGTACGGTGATGGAGAGTGCAAATAGTACACCCCAAAGGTGTAACTAGTCACGAAAAAGTGAGTGTTTATCTTCCTTGAATCAGATGAAACACTAAGTTGTAGAGTCGCCACCAATCTTTTAATAAGGTAAGATTGGTCACCAAAGTATTATATTATTCTAATAAAATTCCTAAGAACAATATTAAAATAATACAGCACAGGGTCTGCTTACCAAAAAATGAGTTTGATAGTCAGTTACGTATGGGGAAGAATTAGCACCCCCACAATGCTCAAACTTGGTATCGGGGTTTTATAATTAGTGTCTTTGTAATAAATTATAAATTTTTTTCTAAATTTAAATTTACAAATAACTTAAAATAAATAATTATTAAATAATATTTAATATAAATATTAATAATCCTATTATAATATTTAAATATTATAAAGTTACCTTAATATATAAAAATATACTAATATTATAATTAATCTTATAATAATAAGTAATAATTAAAATATAAAATATCAAAATTAATTAATCTAATTTGAAATAATATTAAAACTATGTACTAATAATGTAATTTACCATAAATTAATATTCGGGACTAAAATATAAATAATTAAAATATAAAGGACTAAATCAGTTATTTTACCTTAAAGTATATATAGAGTAGTGACCAAAATATAAATGGATAAATTAAAAAAACGAATTAAAAGGATTAAAAACATGGTTTCATGACCATAATTGAAGTTTACAGAACCAAGAGGAGTGCAGATGTAATTTACCCATTCCCTGTTTACACAAAAGCCCCCTCTCCCAAAATGACACCGTATGGGATTGATATATGACCCAAATTCGGCCCTAAAGGCCTTACTCTTCCCATTTTCCTCAAAACACAAGCTCTTGCTTCTCTCTTTATTTCCCTCATAGGAAGGAATTTGTCCCCGACCGACCGCCTTGTTCCAGCGTCAATTGCCACCGCCGACCACCACTCACAATGGCCGAAAAATTTCAGATACACCAAATCGAAGCCTCTTTTACCCTAAACCCAAATCTAAGCTTCGTTTTGCCTAAAAATCTACCAAACTCTGTAAATCTATGTTAATACCTTCGGCTTTTAGACTTCCCGATGACGTTGAAGCTCCTCGGACGATGGTAAGCGCTCCTTTCAACTCTTCTTTCTTTCAGTTGTTGTTTTTTTTCTTGTTGTCCTCTATATTGTTGTTGCTTGGTGTTTTCGTTGCTTGCTCCCTCTGTCTCTGTCTGTTTCTATCTCTGTATCTTGTTTGTCCTCTTTTGCTTGCAGGTTCGGGCTTTTATAACCCTCAGAAGTCAGCCAAAATGATTATCCCTACCGGTGAGTCACCGGACCTATGGTGGTGACTCACCATAGAGTGATGCGTTGTGCGGCTCTTGTGTGGCCTCTGGAATCTTCGAGAGAGATTGGAGAGGCGGTGATGCCATGGCATCGTATGGTTGGAGCAGTTGGACGGTTGTAAATCGTCAGCGGCGAGATGATAACCCTAGGGTAATGAAACCCTAGGGCTTCTGCTGGAGTACTGTGGGGCGTTTATCTACGTCTAGATCAGACGATTGAGCTGCTGGCGGCGTTGAAGTTGAGTATTGAAAACCCTAACAACATTTGGGTCTTCTTGGGGCCTTCTCAGTTATTGGGCCTGAACCAGGTTATTGGGTTTGAACCGGCTGTAGACTGAGCCTATGAACTGGGCCTGAATCTGTATGTTGTAATCGGACCTGGATCTGCTTGTTGTAATTTGGGTCTTCGGGTCTTGTAAATAATCATAATAATTATATCATATAATATTATAATATATTAAAATACGTCACTCGGACGAAAACGACTGTCGACAATGCTCTACTTCTCATATGATTTTTCATTTTTATCCCTATTTATTGAATTCAGTAATCATTAGATTATTGGCACATATTAAGATTATATTATACATATCTAGATTATTTTATATGTAATTATAATATTAAATATTATTTTAATATTAAATATCTAAATAATTATTAAGAAGAATCTAAAATAAAAGAAGTTGATGAAATACATAAGAGTAGGTGACGTCGTTGATGAGTACATTATTCAGTCGATACAGAAAATGGAGAAAGGTGAGTTTGCATTTACGGCAGCGGAGCAATTCGATTACATGGCTTGCTTTATGGCGTCGGATCATTCGCCATTGATTATGTTGGCCATTGATTTTGAATAGAGGACGAGTGTTCAATTTAAGGAATCAGTTAATATCGTCAAGAAAGGCCAAGTCTTGATCCTCTTAAAAGGAATTGTTTTTGTATTGCGTAAGTAGTTGGTTGTTTAGTAAATTTCTTGATATTATTTATATAAATTTTGATATATGGGGTGAGATCTAATTAGATAGTGTAATTTTTTTTTATTTTACAAAAAAAAAACAATTTACAAATAATTTATTTATTTTTATTTATTCTTACAATTTATTTTTTAACATTTATTATTGGAGGCTCAATTTCTATCGTCCACCAAAATTTTAGAAATAAATCTGATCACAGTGATTCCAATTATATCGACAGAGAAATTCTAAAGCCTTGAAAGAAATAAATTAGTGCATGAAGACTTATATCGACTTGGCCTATCTTGGCGAGTCAAAAAATGATAAAAAAATAATTATATAAAACTTGAAAAAATAATTTAAATGTTTTATGTCCGCATCACTTTTATTTTTTAACGGTGGATGAACAAAACAAAAATAAAATTAACTATGATTTTGAGGAATATAATAATTTGATGATCAACAGAAAACTGAATAAATAGTTTATCCTTTTTAATTATATGTGGACTTATTTTAGGCTCTGGATAGGTGCCCCCTACCCTGATTGTGACGAGGTTCGGTGATAGTATTAAATTGTGGTTGTAGTTATAATATCACATAATATTATAACATGATTTGTCTTTTTAAAGAATAATTATGTATCAATACAATTAATATGTATCATGTTCATATTTGACAGCTGAAAGCTATAAAAGAAGTAGCAATGATTCTAAAGTAACAAATTCATCATATACGAAGACTTTCATGATTGGATTTGAAAAGAAGAAAGGAAATCCAGTCAAGTGGAAGAATCTACGTATAATAGTATTATCAAATGGGTTGTATATCATCGAATTCATCAGATTGAATGTCATGAATTGAATGCCTGCCAAGATTGATCGTTGGCTCCATTTTCCTTGCCCTTTTCAAGCCTCTTGAGAATATCCAAGAAGGATGGTCTCTGGTTCATGTCAGGAGCCCAGCACGCACTTGTTAAGCTAACCCAAATTCAAGATACTTCATTAGCATTCATCACTAGACACCTTTGAAAAGAGTTCATGCAAATCTTCATGCAGACATGATAGTTTATGTAACCAACTTATCTTTTTAAAGCTCAAGTTATGGTTTTAGCTTGTAAATGATGTAGCCAGACCATGCAACTTTTAGAGATGGCTTACTCTCTCAATTCAGAGACGAATGACTTTGAGCGGAAATTAGGCCGGTGTCCATCTGCAACAAACTTAGCTGCTTCATAAGGCTCGTGATTTGAAAATGGTGGTTCTCCTTCAATCATCTGCTCCAAGTAAAAGAATATCATCTATGTGAAGTAGAGTCAAATATATCATGATCAACATCGTTTCGATAGAGGAAGAAGATTACCTCGTAAAGTATCATTGCAAAAGAGAAAACATCAACCTTTTTATCATATTTCCGGTGCTTGAAAACTTCAGGAGCCATATAACGATCTATTCCAGTTCCAAGTAAAGGAAGTAAGTATCTGAGAATCATATTTTATGCGAAGGAAATATTTAGGAGACTCACAACTCCCGGTCTCGCCTGTCATTTTGTAGACATCATGAGAATTTCGAACCTTGATGAGCTTGCTCAGGCCAAAGTCTCCAACTTTCAAATGATCTGCGCTAGAGTTTACCAGAAGCACGTTCCTGGTAGAAAGAAACATATTTTGCCATGAAGAAGTCCATGTAATTGAAAGTTTAGTCATGGAAGAAAAAAAGAAAGAAAGCGTTGTGCTTTGAGAAAAACCCCAAATTCCATTAAACATCCAAATCCTAGAGCCTTGAACCAGCAGATTGTAGAACAAAAACAGGATTGTGCCACAGCAAAATTGAAACTGAAATACAAACCGACTCGCCTTGGTTTTAGGTCTCGATGAATTATGACATTTGGCTCATTGTGAAGATAAGCCATACCCCTGACAACAAAATTTATAAAGTTCCTATTAGCAAAAATAGGCATATATATGAGAATTAATAGTCACACAGCAAAAACATATTTTGTGGATTACTACCTGTCAAAAGGAAGGGAAGTTATTCAAAACCAAAGACAATCAATGATTTTATCCTAATTAAGAAAAAAACATTATTAATGTTAAACTATATCATATTATCTCATTCTTTCCCCCCAACTTTTACAAAGATGTCAAGAGCGTTACACAGAGAGCTGCTCTGACTACACAGCTTCAGATAGAAGCTTTCTTATATACCTAGCAATGTCCATCGCGAAGTTGACGGCTGCTGATGAATTTAACCCATTCTTTAACTTGAGATACTCATGAAGATCACCCTGTAACAGCATATATGTGTATGATAAGAAGTAATTAAAGTAAACATTTTTTTTAAAATACTCTACAGAGAGAAATAAACTACTTTGAATGAGAAGTATGTATGCATTGACGTACCCCTCTTAAATACTCAGTAATTAACATAAGAGGCTTCTTCTCAGTGACAGCTCCGAGGAATTGGACTATATTAGGATGGCGGAGCTTTACGAGCAAATTCACTTCATGCCGGAAATCCTGTCTGAACCAGCACAGCAGAAACACAAGAGTTGCAATCTTAATACCCAAAAACAAAGGACAGGGAGGGAACTGATCACAGCTTCAACAAGCATCAGATAAACCATCAGAAATGTGGAAACGGCTTTCATCATTGAAGCTAATTACAAAAAGAAATGATAAACTAATAAAGAAAAATTTTCATGACTTTTTGGGTGAATTCATTCTCAACGAGTACATAATTTTCAACATATGACATGCATCAAAGAAAGCAGATATTCATGAACAGAACTTTGAAAGCAAACTATAGAGAAATATTCAAAAAATAGTGGGCTTACATCACCAGTCTGTCATCTGAAAGTGATGGAAGAATGCGCTTGACAGCTACAGGTGTTCCTCGCCAAGTGGCCTTTAAAATCTCACCAAATGACCCCTGGAAATGTGAGATATAATCAGTACAGAAAGCACACATTGTATTAGGAAAATAGGCTGGGGGCTTTATATTAGAAATTTAGAGGGCGCTTTATATTAGAAATTTAGAGGGCGTGAAATTATAAAAATTTAGTATGTGTGAAATTAGATAATTAATAGAAAATACAAAGAAAATACATAAACTATGCGGAAATTTAAAATTTCCAGTGTATGACCACACCCCTCACTCCATTCATGCTTGCATGCCGAATTGCTGATAACCAAAACTTAAGCAGCTTATAATGAACTCAAGTTCAAAGCTGAGAGATTGAAAGTTAGCAATGTTGATAAATTGAAATCACACCTTCCCTATGATATTTGAATATGAGAAGTCCAGCTCAGAAGGGTCAATTTCCCAGTCACACTTGTTTGGTAGAGGGGGTGGAACTGGCCTTGGCTCAAAGTGGCTTCCCTTTTGGCCCTGCGACAATGAAATCTTTAACTTTTGGTCCATAAAAGTAGTCAAAATGCAAGCTCACAAGTCTAAAAGTGTTTCCATCAATTAAACTTGTTCATCTATCTCCAACATCAACAGATCACAAGAAATGATGAAGAAGCAATAAGATCCCAAAATCAGTGAGCATTTCGTATTTTATGGGAATTGCTAAGGAATTACAGTAAAAGATAGCATGGTTACATCAATGAACATGGATATATGGAAACACACAACATTTGGTTCAAGAAGCTGTCTCTAACAGGACAGAAGCGTGAATTTATATTAGCAAGAGAACTTATAAAATTTTAAGAGATGAATTTATAAAATGTTGGGGAGAAAAAATATATTATGAATAGAAAATAGAAAAAAAAACTTAAATTATATGGTAATTTCCAAATTTTCAAGGCCGACCTCCCCCGCGAGTCACTAAGTCCATCCCTGATCTCTAATATAATATGATATACCTTTGACAACATGTTATGTCTAGTAATCCATGATAGTTGGCCAAATAATATCACAAAAGATCATGATCAAAGTTCCGATTCCCGCAACCAAATATCGATCGTACTGTTCAAGCTGGCTATTAAGGTTAAAAGCAATTACAAGAACATGCATTTTAAGAATTCCTCTCATTTTAGCTACTGAAAGAAAATAGTTAAAAATAGATGAACAATGAAAAATGCCAAGTAAAAAGCGAAACTTACGTAAGATAATCCGCCATATGATTTCAATAGCTCGATCATTCTATGTTTCTTAGCTCCTTCTGCATCAGCTAGAGGCTGCAATTACCAAAAACAGAACAACAACAACAACAAACTAACGGTTAATTAATCCAAAAAGAGAAAAAAAGTATGGAAAGTGTGAAAGCGAAGAGGCACCGTATTCCTCCATCGATCTTGGGAGTTGACATCGGCGCCATACTCGAGGAGGCACTTGGCGATTTCGATCCAGCCATAGAGTGAAGCGACGTGGAGAGGCGTACGGTTGTCGTAGTCCCTGGCATTGACCAAAGATGCATCCTCCTGGAGAAGCTTTCGTAGAGCGGAAGCGTTATTGTGATGAGCATGCCATAAGATGTGCGAAGTCCTGCTCAATCTGGCCTTCTCCTTTTGCTTGTCGGACGAGCTCGTGTTCCCGCTCGATCCGCCGGATGAGCTCATCGTCAAATATTTCTGGGGTTACACTTTGAAGCGATATTGGCAGTTTTTCCTTCTTCGTGAGGGAGTCTTCGTCGATTCGAAATCGGAGGGAAATTAAATAAATACATTTGGAACAGAATACAAATTAATTATAAAACCCTTTTACTTTTTCAACACCACTCTCCTCAGGGAAATTATTTTATATATAAAATGTTGCATTTCTGTTATTATAATTGCTTATGCTTATTTTAATGAATGAAGCCATGATTTATATTTAAATAATTTAGATTTTATCTTTATAACATATAATCTTCTCTAAATAACATTAATGCAATCTATTTATAAAATATTTTATTTCATGAACGTATATAAAATAATAATCTTTTTCTTTATTACGCACTAGTTATATTTTCAATTTTTTTCTTACTATTATAATTAATCAACTTTTTTTTTTTAAATTTCAAAACTATCCAAAATGTTGCAACTGGGTCGCTATGGGAGGTTAGTGGAACATAATTGAGTATTTTTAGTTGTAAAAAAATATTATTTTTTGTTATATTTAAATTCAAATAATTGCATTTGTGATAATATATTTAAAAAATTATAAATAAATATTATTTTATAATCACTTAAAAGTATAAAAAGAATTCATCATTGCATGCCATAAAATGGATAGAATATCATTGGATTGATTACTAAAAAAATCATCGTTGTTGTTCTTAGAAGTTATGGGTTTAAGCACCAACAACTATAACGATCATTCAAAATTTATTGTTAAATAATTAAAAATATTTAAAATAAATACTATTTATAATTACTTTGATTTGATAAAAAAAATACTATGGATAATGCGACAAGATGGCAATAGGATGGACTGCTTATTGTTTGCATCGATTCTGATCCCACATACTAATGGAGTAATTCGACTCCAATTTTAAAATATTTTATTTTTTTCAATCCAAACTTAAAATTAGAAAATAATAATAAAATTATTGATATGGACTATTAATGTTATCCATCCATATGTATTATTTTTATATATTTTTAAAAACTTAAAATACTTAAAATTCAATTAATTCTATTTAAAATTAAATTTTAATCATACGAATCAAACGACTTCAATAATAAAGATATTTATTTTTATTCTTTAAAACTTAATCAAATCTTAAATTTAATATATATATATATATATATATATATATATATATATATATATCAAGAATATAAGCGACAAAATAGATATGACTAGTCCAGTGACCCTGAAGTCATCGAGTTGGTGTGAAGCTTCACGTTCAAAATCAAATGTTTGTAATTCTGGTGTTAGAGAAATGGATGTTAGGAACTTAGTCCCTTGTCTCAAAAATCTGATTCACCCGGTCTTCAATTTCAAATAAAGTTAATAAATAAGTACATTTGGTATTAAACAATGGGCGTTTGGATGGGGAATGTGTAATTCCCATGGGAATAGAATTCACATTCTCCCGTTTGGTTAAATCGGGAATCTCATTTTCGGTAATGTAAGATTATCAATAGTAGATTTTTTGAAGTATATTATTGGGAATGTCATTACCTCCATTTCCTTAGGTATTGTTGGATTACCGGTGTTTTGGACTAAAATGCCCTTAATTTTTTTAAAAAAAATATCATTCTTCTGTCATTGAATAATAAAAATTCTACGAAGGTTAAATTATAAATTTATCCTTAAACTATTTTAAATTTACAAAAAAATCTATAATTAAAATTTTATATGAAGTTCAGGGGTTAAAATAAAATTTTACCATTTCATTAACCTTTTTATATTTTCAATTTTGTATATATATATATTATGAATTTAAATTTGTTAAAGAAAATATATAAATATTTTCCAATTTGTTAAAAAACAAATATATAATAAGGACAATTTGGTCAAATATACATTTCAATAATCTTTTATTCCTTTAATCAAACACCGTAATCTTACATTCCTACTAAACTAACCAAACATAAAATACAACATTCCCAGTAATCCTATTCCCTGGTAATCTTATATTCCCATTAGTAATCTTACATTCCGTGAACCAAACGCACACTGTAATACTCTAATTTTATCCTAAAATTAAAGAAAGAACAAAATGTAAGGACCAAACTTGTAATTATATCATTGTCCGAAAATTAAAGAGGGAACAAAATATAATGATCAAGCAAACAGTTCTACCATTTGTAATTTGGTGAGGGCTTTAAAAGCCAATAAAAAACCGGGAAACACCCCCTCTCCCTGTTTTTTGTAAACCAGAATGAAATAAAAAAAAAGGGTTCTCTCTCTCCTTCTTCACGTTTTTTCTTTCATATATATATATATATATTTGGTTAAATGTTAATGCTTTCTCCATTCTTTGAGTACCCATTTGATAATATATTTTTTTGCGGAATTTGTAAATTGATTTGATCTATTTTATTTTTTGAGTTTCTTCTTCATCCTCCCTTCATGTGTTCTCTGTCATCTAGCTTGAAAGCTCCTCAAATCTGTCCGATTTTTAGGAAATATTGTAGATTTTTTTTGTTAATGATAATCTGGGATTTGGTTAATGTTGATAAACAAAATCTACGCCATCCTCATTTCTAGCTGCATCTTTATAGAGTTGAATGTAAATTAATGATCGGCTTTGTTGTTTCTTTACTTTGTATATTTGTATAGTTCATTGTTGCATATAGGCCCGACCCAATACATGTGTCACATGGGCGACGACCCATGGCAACATGTTGGGGGCAGTTTTCTAAGGCTTAATTTATATGTTACACGGTTTTATTCGCCTAAACCAATTGATTTTTAGTTTGTTTGATTGCAAAAAAAGCTTAAAATCGATCAAATTGTAAGCTTTTTTTTTTTTTGCTTTTTGAACAAATCAATCACAGAGTGTAGTTTGTTTTTGTCATTGTTTGTCTATTGGGAAAGGAAGAGGCAAGGTAACAAAAATTTGATTTTCCCCTCTCAATTTTTATTAGTATGGAAACGGTTTCTGGAATTTGATGTGGATTAACTTTCTAGGGTTTTGTAAAAGCTTACAATTACTGAAAATTGATTAATGATTACTTGATTAGAGCTAAGATTGAAGCGATTTTAATTCACTTTTGCACGTTTTACTTTGTTTTTATTCAGATATTTTTTTTCCTGTTTGACCTTTTTAAAGAACATTACTAGTTTAGTTGGAACTAGAATAGATCATTACTAGTTTAGTTAGAACTGGAACAGATCACAAATCATAAAATAGTGATTAGATTGTATAAGAACAATGGAGGGAAAGATGCTCTCTTTTTTTCTTTTCGTATTGAGGTGGTTTAAGAGAACAAAATTCTATCTTTCACTCTTCCCCTGTTTGTAATCTTATAATATTCATTTGTTGGAGAACAAAGTTCCCCCACTTCTTTATGTTAGATTATTGACATTGTCAGCCTTTGTTTTTGAGTTTGGAACAATTTTATTTGTTGGTAATTCTACTTTGGGGTCCAACCTTTTGAATTGGGTTTAACATAAAAGCATGTTGCTGGTATGATGGAACAACCAAAGAATGAATTATTGGTGCATTTTCAGGTGTCTTGAGAATATGAATACAACTTTTTTTTGTATACCATTTGAGAGTTTTCATTTTTATTTTTATGACATATGAAGTGGTTTTATCCGATCCAATGAAAATTGGTCAATCGTTTCACATTCATTTCTCAACATGCTTGTCATTTGCTGCCACTAATAAGGACCATGGTTGAACCATTGACTATTGATGTTTGTTACTACTACAATAAGACTGGAGAACTTTGAAAAGTTTGGAATACCAAGTTTATCTTGCAAGCAAATATATTGCTAAGTTTTCGATTTGTATGTGTATCAGTTTGGCTTGATTACAGAGTTCTAAGTCTTGCTTAAGTTTGATCCTATAGTTTTAGCTTTTATTGCATCACTAGAACAATGTTTTTTTATGGTCAAATAAATGTGGCTAAATATTTTCGTTCAAGACATTTTTTAGAGTGATTCCTTCTTATTATTTTGATTTCATAATTAATTTTTCAGATCAGTTGATTGTGAGAAAGAACAAGTCAACAACATAAACTTCGGTCACCGGTTAGGTTGTATCTTTCCTTGCTAATTTATCTGTTTTATTGTTTACTTGCTACTATATTTGTTTTATTGATTACTTTTAAATATGTTACCTCGAAAACAACCATCGGGTGCCCAAAATAGAAAACGAAAAAAAAATGGCTAATTCTTTACATGGGTCTTTAGATAGATTTATTTTTAGACCGGTTAAACCTTCTAATAATCCGATTGGAAATTCCAATGATTCACCTAATGATTCGGTTGATAATTTTAAAGATTGTGAGAATAATGAATTTTTTGATAAAGATAAATCAAGTGATTTTAATATTTTTGATCCTAGAGTGTGGGATGACTTAGATTCAAAACTGAAAGATTTACTTTGAAGAATATAGGGAAATTGAGTTTGACAATGCTATTAATGAAGCTAAAGAAATAGCATATAATATTAGGGTTGAACCTTAATTTCTTAAAAAACGTATTTCTTATAGAAAAAATAATTTGATGAAATTCCAAATACCGAAAGAGAACATCAATCTTCTCAAGAAGCATTTCGAAATGATTACTTTATTATTCTTATAGATATGACTCTTATTCAATTGAAAAGTAGATTTGAACAAATGCAACATTTCGAGTCTATATTTAGTTTTTTGTTTGATGGTTCAAAGTTAATTTCATTACTTGATGACGAACTAAAAAAATGTTGTTTAAATCTTGAGTCCAATTTGACAAATGGTGAAGAATTTGATATTGATGGAAAAGATTTATTTATGGAGTTACAAATTTTGCAGAAAATGTTACCGGATGAAGCACACAAAAGTGAAAGTCCATGGACATCTATTCAAATAATGGAGTTTGCAAGAAGAATGGATATGTTCCCTAATGTGTTGATAGCATATAAATTTTTGTTGACGGTACCGGTTACGGTTGCTTCCGCGGAAAGAAGTTTTTCAAAATTGAAGTTCTTGAAATCCTATCTTCGAAGCATGATGACTCAAGATAGATTGAACGGATTAGCAATTCTAAGGATTGAAAGTCAATTTTTACAAAGTCTTGATTATCGTAAAATAATAGAGGTTTTTGAGTCAAAAAAAGCACGAAGACATTATTTTAGGTGATATTTGTAGCCTTGTAGTTTTTGGTTTGTATTAGTATTGATATTGTTTGACTATAATTTCTATTACATTTTTGTTTTAAAAAAATTATTTATGTTTTATCTATTATATGGTACAAGTATAGGGGCATAAAATTATTATCTCGCACAGGGTATTAAAACTCATCGGACCGACCCTGGTTGCATATCAACTATTGATGGATTGCCCCTTTGTTGATTTTGATTCACCTCATCATGCTAAACAAAAGTATGGGAAAACAAAAGTATGGGAGGAATCTTCTCCTTCGTTAGATTCTTTATATGTTCTCAAAAACATGTTTGAACGAAGAGATGAAAAAGCTTCATATTGTTTTGGGTAAATTATGGTGAGGTCCCTGTACCTTTAGTTTGTTCTTACCTTTAGTCACCTATTTCGTGGGTTAATCGCTCATAAATCTCCCAGTTTCAGAGCGTTTCACGCTTTGGTCACTAATAGGGGGAAATCACATTTAAGCCCCTTGTATTTTAGCGTTTGTTGCACTTTGGTCAATAATTTCTTATTTATTTCGAAAGTGCATGCACATTTTACTAACTTTTAATTTGGTCACTATTATGTTATGTTATTTATTTCAAGTTAACTATTAACTTTTATTTTATTGCATGTTAACCACTAACTTTTATTTTATTGCACTTTAACCATTGTTATTTATTTATTTACTGTTTCTAATATTCAATTCGACCTTGTGGTGACCTATCCGGGGTATGATATGTGTTATTATCGTTCGGATTGTGCTAACCACTAACTTTTTTCATTTTATTTTATTTTTATATATTTGTTTGAATTATTTGATTTGACTTTGTGGTGACCTAATCCAGGGTATGATCCACATTATTATGGTTCGGACCCTGCTAACCACTAACTTTATTTTATTTTATTTTATTTTGTTAATTTGTTTGAATTATTCAATTCGGCCTTGTGGTGACCATATCCAGGATATGATCCACATTATTATGGTTTGGACTCTGCTAACCGCTAACTTTTCTAACAACTAGCCTTTCTAACCACTAATTATTAACTTTATGCACTTTTATTTTCATTGCATTTTATTTTTGTTATTTAACTTTATGCACTTTTAAATTTATGCAAATTTATTTTCTTTAATTAATTGCTTTAATGTTCTAATTATTTATTTTTATCTCTTTATTTTACAGTACTTTAATTTTATTCGTTTAATTATTGTGTTTTATTATATGTTTATTTTACTTCTATAATTTAATTTTTGCATAGTTTGTTTCCTTACATTTTAACATGTATAGATATTATATATTTATTCGTATTATTTATGTATGTATATATTCCTTGCTCTTGGGAATTGATTTTGAACGCTTGTACAAAATGTTTGTTTTATTCATTTTTAACCTTTTTTTACTCTAATATTTTCAAGAAAACTTATTTGTAGAATGGGCGTGGAAAACATTGCTTAGTCGAAGTAGTGTGATCCGATACGACATTCGAACAAAATGTGACTTTAAATAAATCGAAGTTCTTAAAAGTGCTAATTAATTCATTGTTATTCTAATTCAAATGATGTAATGCATGTTTTTTTCTTTAATAGTAATTTATTTTATGCAAATGTGGATATTCAATTTATATTTGATTTGTTTTTTTATTTATAAATTTAGGCGGGAATATTCTTTTTAGACAAGAATTAGAATAGATAGTTTTTCCGTCGGAGGATGAGTAAATCTCGATATTTCTTTTCGAATTAAAGTATTTTCCCTAATAAATAATTCGAAGCAAATTAATTAAACTTTAATAAATTAATCATATTTTAACTATATATTCGATTCATAATTTCCACCATTTACGAAAATGTATAAGTGACTAAGTACCAACTTTTTGGCATTGTGGGGTGCTTATCCTTTCCCACATGTAATTGACTCCCGGACCCGTTAAATCAAATTTTTGGTATCAATTTTCGTCTCAAAAAACATTTTTTTCCTGAAAATTATTTTAAATGACATATTTAGATATTCAACCTACCTAACACAAAGATCGATGACGATTCCTATTCAAAATTTTCAAATTAATTAAAAATCACTAATTTTTCTCAAATAAAAGTCATAATTATTTTTTAAACTTAATTGTTTAAAAAAATGGATACACCACTCACTATTTGAATATGAAATTTTAAAGAATGACAATAATTATTTTAATATTAATATCTTGTACGCGAATCGAGCTAAATTCTATCGACCTGGTGAGGAGACACCTTTGGGGTTTAGTTGCAACACTGTCGGGAGGCTCTGAAAGGGCCCTTTCCATGTGACTATATCAAATGGGTAAAAAACCGAAACAACTGTGTGTTGCAATGGTCAGTTTGTTCTTCCATTTCTTAGCAGCTACTTTCTTTCCACTCTCAGTCACTCGCTTCTGCAATGACCACCATCCTTTAGATGCCATTATTCAGATCATGCACCAATCTCAGATCACTGGCACAACTCCATGCCCACTTTTTCGTTACTGGGCTTCACCATGACCCACTCCCTTCTACCAAGCTCGCTGAATCCTATGCCCAAATGGGTTCCTTTCAATCTTCATAGCTCGTTTTCAACTCCTTCCCGAACCCAGATTCTTTCATGTGGGGTGTTCTACTAAAATGCTCTGTTTGGAGCAACTTTTTTAAAGAAGCCATTTTTCTCTACCTTACTGTGATTAAGAATGGCCAAGTCCAGATCAGTACTTCATATTCCCTTCGATTCTGAGGGCTTGTTCTGGTTTTGGTGATCTGGTTATTGGCGAAATGGTTCATGGGGCCATTGTAAAAAATGGGTTTGCAAAAGATTCTGTTATCCAGTCTTCACTTCTTTCAGTGTACGGTGAAATGGAATTCTTAAGTTATGCTAAGAAAATGTTCGATGAAATGACTGTAAGAGACTTGGCTTCCTGGAGTTCGATTATTTTGAGTTACGTCGAGAATGGGAAATCAAATGAAGGATTGGAGATAATTCGTTTAATGGTTTTAGAATGTATTAGACCGGATTCCGTAACAATGCTTAGTGTAGCTGAGGCTGGTGGTGTCTTGGGATTTTTAATATTAGCAAGGTCGATTCATGGTTATATAGTGAGGAGGAACATTGAAAGTTATGGATCATTGACCACTTCTCTTGTTGCTATGTATAGCAAGTGTGGTGACTTGGTTAGTGCAGAGAGTATCTTTCTAAATGTAACGAACCGTAATACTTCATTGTGGACAGCGATTATTTCTAGCTATTATAGAATTGGTAGGTTTGTAGAAGCGTTAAAATCCTTTGTTTTGATGTTAAACTCGTGTGGAACCCAATTCAGTGACCATGACGAGTGTTTTAGGTTCTTTTGCAGGGTTAGGCTGCCTTAGAGATGGGAAGTTGGTTCATTGTTACATAATTAGGAAAGAAATGGATCTTGACTATGATGTTTTAGGGCCAGTTTTCATAGAACTATATATGAAATGCGGAAAGTTGAATTATTCAGAAAACGTTCTTCATGTTGTCAGAGGAAGGAATATTGTGGCTTGGAAAATGATCATATCGATTTGAATCGAGAAAGGGTTGATAACAGAGGCATTGGCACACATTGTGCAGATGCAGACCAGGGGACTAATGCCTGACGCATTTAGCCTTGCGAGTTCTCTCTCAGCTTGTGCTGATGGAGGTTTCTTGTTATTTGGAGATCAGATACATGTTCATATCATCAAAAGAGGCCTTTTCAATGAGTTTGTCGAGAATTTGCTAATTGATATGTACTCGAAATGTGGTTTTGCGGAACTAGCATACATGGTATTTGATGAGATCAAGGAGATAAGTGTCGTAACATGGAATTCTATGATTTGTGTATTCCATCAAAATGGAAATTCTGTGGAGGCGATTAACCTCATCGATCAAATGTACTTGAATGGCCTTGAGATGAATGATGTGACCTTCTTAAGTGTGCTTCAAGCATGCTCCAATTTGGGTTATCTCGTGAAGGGAAAATGACTTCACCACAAGCTCGTTTCCTACGGTGTTAGGAAGGATCTCTATATCGATACAGCTTTAACCGATATGTATGCCAAGTGCGGAGACCTTCTAACAGCCCAAAGGGTTTTCAACAGCATGCCAGAAAAAAGTGTGGTGTCATGGACCGTCACGATTTCCGGATATGGAGCACACGGTAGGGTGAACGACGCCATCTCACTGTTCAATCAAATGATGGAGTCGGGTGTAAGAACTCATCAAATTATCTTCATGAATATTCTTTCGGCTTTCAGTCATGCAGGATCCATGGAAGATGGAAAATTTTATTTCAACTTGATGAGGGATTTCGCTGTGGAGCCTAACTCAGAACATTACACTTGTATGGTTGATCTTCTAAAGTCGTGGTGGTGACCTCAATGAAGCATATAGAATCATCAGATCGATGCCATTTCCAGCAGATGCAAGCATTTGGAGTGCACTACTTAATGGTTGTAGAATCCACCGCAGGATGCACATGATCGGAACCATCGAAGAAGACCTTCTAAACATTCATACAGATGACACTGGATACTACACCTTGTTATCTAATATATATGCTGAGGAAGGAAACTGGAAGGAATTTGAGAAGGTGAGATCGGTAATGAAAGGCATAGGTCTTAGGAAGGTTCCTGGTATTAGTTTAATTGAGCTTGATAAGAGAATTTATAGATTTGGAGTTGGATTTACTTTTCTTCAAACTGAAGAAACTCTTAACTTTCTTGGAAAATTTCCAAAATATGTCTCAAGAACAAGTTTATTATTTAGAAAACCAATAATATTTTTCGTATAATAATTATTTTAATTCAAATGCATGTCCACAACGATGTTCTTCATGGTGATCTATGTGGAGAGCTTTACATGAAATTGCATTTACATCATATTCAAAGCATACAAGCTTCAACTTTTATTTATAATATTTAGTTTCACACCAGAATTACCTTTATTCCCAGTGAAGCATAGTAGTATACATAATACATGTATTGATACGTATAAAAACTAAACGATCATTCATCATAATTGGCTAATTATAATTAGCCAATCAATCATGTTTTTGCTCTCGATCACCACGTCGTACTTCAAGTCTTCCTTGAGGATTCTTCTCAAGTGAATAAGGCATATAGGTTCCCAGAAGTTTATCCCATATGACAAAGTAGACAGAGAAGTTGTATTTGGCACCATAAAGCTGATGGTGGATATCATAGTATGCAGAATTGTTGTTGAAGAGGTAAAAAGGGTTCCCCGGAAGCTTCATCCCGCAATGATCATCCACTAATTTAACGATCGCAACAGATATGAAAAACATGCTGGTTCGAGGAGACATGCCGGACAGGAGTATAGCTAATGTCCCACCCATGATGTCGAACAGTCCCTCTATCGGATGCATATACTGTGCTCCGAACGAATACGGAACAACCAGCCGGTGATGCGGAACATGAACGTGTCGGTACAAGAACTTGTTCTGATGCAAGTACCAATGCACGAAAAACGCCCATGTATATATAAACACCATTGCTATAATCACTTGCTTAGCTAAAACAAGGAAGGTTGAAGGTTTCATGTGAGATGCCTCACCCTGCTGTTCTCTTGTAGCCTGCAAACAAAACAAGAGTAGAAATAGAACAAATTACTACTCGTACCGCAAACATGAAGAGATTAATAGCAATTTGCATGGTTTGATGGATAAGAACGGCTTTCACGACTGTTTTTCTGGACACCAAATTCTTCTCTTCCCCTTCTTTCTGGGAGTGCAACTTGTATTTCTCGAACCACGACTCGAACATCACATACATCAATGAATATATCCAATAAACGGCGATCGGCACCAGAGTTGCCAACAATTCCTCTGACGTTACCAAAGCCATCCCAACTTAATTGCCCTTTCAACTGTTGAGTTCTAATACTATATAGCAATGGATATGTGTTTTGCTTCTCCAATTACACCATGCAATAGTTTACATATACTTCATATTTTATAGTGAGTAGTGACTCTAGTTTTTTTTTTCTTTAATCATTACAATGTAATATATGTTCATATATTTCTTAATCTTTAATAACGCACACACATCCTGTAGACACAGCTATTCGAACACATGACCTCAAGAGAATAACACTCTCTTTAACTACTAAGATCAATTTTTAAAAGTGACTCAAGTTTTTAAAATGTAATTGGAGCATAAAATAGGGAGAAATATACATTCCATTAATTGTTAACTATTCAAATAAAAGAAAATAAAGAGACTTTTCTAACTTTATGGTAAAAAATAAAGATATTCAAATAAAAATTGTTTTTATTCGACGTTCACATATCATTAATGTAATACCCTAATTTTGTCCGGGCCTTTTAATTTCATTTTGAAGATGATCAAGAGTTAATTTGAAGATGTTAGTGCTCGATGAAGAATTAATTCAGCGTGGAATTTCACGTTTGAAAGCTTTAGGTGCTCGATTGGAATTGGAATCGTATATGGAAATCGGGGCACAAATTGAAATCCAAATTCTAAAATTAAAGTCCATTTACAAGCCCAAGTTCAAATAATTGACTCAACAATTACAAGACCCGAGTTGACCATTGCTTCCCACGTGAGACCACTGGTGGCTGTCATCCATGCCTTCCATGTGCAGCACAGCTCCTTAGCAACTGTCTCCCACGTGAAATGCTAGAACCGAGCAGCTTCCCATGCCAGCACCAAACCCGAGCAGAACATCTCGATTCTCTACTCCACTCCCAACAGCAGCTGGTGCCTCCCGAGGCCTTGTCCCATGTTCCCATGTCTCCTATGCCCATACTGCTGAAGCTCCACTGCCCATGCCAACACCAAACCTGAGCAAAACAGCTCGGTTCCCCATCACCCACCAACGACAACAGCTCGTGCGTGCCCTGCAAACAGCAAATCCAAGGTAATGAAGCAGCGCATTAATATAGAAAACAACATAACAGGGGGTCACGGGCAGCAGTGAACAAGGAGAAATCAACCACGAGACAGAACGAAAAATAGCAATCAAGATAGAATCACGGGGATATCAATTAATGAGGGGGCAGATTAAAGGCAACAAGGATTCACGGAAGAGAGAGATTTCATTAACCAGGGGAGGCAGGAACGAAAGGAATTTTGGAGAGGAATGGGCGTAAGAAGGCTCTGGGTTCACGAACGGAAAAGGATTCAAAGGGTGGGGGGATTTTGAGAGTTTGTAATAGGGGGATTCCCTGGGAAACAAAAGGGAGGAAAAACATTGTAATTCTACCCATTTCGGGAAATTAATACAAAAAGATCTTCTCATCATTCAAAGAAAGAAAAAGCAATCTGTTAACAAGCAACAGAAAATTCCAGAGAGTGAACCCAAAGAAATCAGTGCCTTTCGAACCAAAGCAAAGTTTAGAGAATAGAAGAGAGTGAAGCGTTTACCTTGTTGATTCGAGTCCTTCGTCGCCGGTAACCACCACGGCGGTGGTCAGAGAGGTAAATAGAATCCATGTAAGTTATTTAGGAGTTTTTTAGAATTGAAACCTTGTCCATAGGAATAAGAAAGCATATAAAAATTTACCTTTTCTTCTTCGTTGTGGAAGTTCTTTTCGTCGTTAGGGGGAAACTCGGGCGATAGAGGGCAGCGGTGGCCGCTTGGCTTCGGTGGGGGTCTTGCTTGGAAGGTAATAGAACGTAGGTGTTGGGTTTTAGGTTAGGGGCTTCTTTTGTCGTTGGTTTGGGAGGTAGTCGGAGGCATAACGGCCACCGATTGGCGGTGGCCGGCTTTGGTTGTTCTGAGTTTCTCTGTCGGCCATTAGAGAAGAAGAATGAAAGTGGTGAGGGAGAAGATGAGAGGAACGGCTGGGGTAGTGTGAGTTTAGGTTAGGTTTAGTTTATATTTAGAATATATATTAGAAATTTAGGGTTAATCATCTATATGTTATCGTGTTTTAGGGGTTATTAGCGCGAGGTCCTGTATGTTTAACCTGTTTCATTTTGGTCCCTGAATACAATCTTTTTGTTAGTAATTTGGCCTTCTTATTCTCGGAGTTTTGCGTTTTGATCCTTAAATCATGGTTTTCGAGTTTCTGCTTGTGTCTCTATATTTTTTCCGTATTTAATTTAAGTCCCAAGTTGTAGTGTATTTAATTTTTGTTTTTTTAGACATTTAATCTATAAATCGTTGCATGTTTCTTTTTAGTCCAACTTATGTGTTTAGGGTTTAATTCAATATTAGTGTTGTGTTTTAATTCAGTTTATTTGTTCAACTTGGTAATAATTGTATTTTAACTTTGATTATTATTTTGCTTCTAATTAAGATAATAAACTTTTATTTAATATTAAATAGTCCCTATTTTAACAAGTACACGTATTTTCTAAAATTGGTAGTTTGACGTGCTTTGTTTCTATTGTTGTATTTAAGTCAAGTTTATGCATTATACGTTAGTACGCGTCTAGTTTGTACTGTATAGTATAAAAATTATATGTATATAATTTGTGTTTCTATATGTCACTTTACATTAGAATCTATAATATTTCTTTATTAAAATAATAATCATTTTTTTATCATTGTATGTTATCCTCTTTTGCAACTCGACCTAATCACATAATTGGAATAAGGGTAATACTCTTTTAATTTAAATATGTCGGAATGGCTTCTCCTAACTTACTAGAGAGTTGTTTTGGCAATTTTAGATTAAAATTATATCCCGTCAGTAACGTCTAATTAAATTTGGATTTATCACTGTAAAATTTGGGAACGAAAGAAAAGAAAATATTCGACTATTTAAATTTTTCGAGAAAAGGTCGTTAGAACTGAACTAAAGATTTGGTCTCGATATCTTTAAATAATCGAATACTCTTTTATCTTTCTAATGGCTTGGTAATCCTAATTTAATTTATTTTGTTGCTTTTGAATATCATAAATATCGCATTTTATTGTTTTAAGGGATCGTAAACCAAGTTAAATTCGAATTTGTAAATTTCGTTGCAAAGACATTAATTAATCGACTAGGTACCGATTTAGGGCGTTGTGGGGGTGCTAATCCTTCCCCACACGTAACCGACTCCCGGACTCAGATTTTGGTAACGTATACCGTAAATTTGTCGTTTTAATTAAAATTAATTTTTATTTAAAATGACAACGTTTTTGGGTGCCCAATCACACCCTAATCAAAGATTGGTGGCGACTCCTCGAACCATATGTTTTTATCGTAAAAGGAATTCCAAATTTTCGAAACGAGAGGTTTTCTAAAATTGCATTGTTTTTAATTAAAATTCAATCGTAAAGAAAATAATTGAAAATAATGCGCTTTTCCAAATCACCCTCGCCCCGTTTAAAAATCGTTTCGACAATTAACAGCTATTTTGCATTAGTTTATTCCATACGCAAACAATTGTCTAATTTTGATGATCCTGTTATTCACCTTTCTTATGAATAATAAAATGGAAGGCTGTATAATAGTGAATGATAACAGCAGAGCAAGAAAGATTTGAATTGAAGTTCTTAAACAATAATTTTTTTATTTGACATTTAACAGCCGTACGCTTGAATTAGGGTGTAAACAAGATAAGTCGACTTCGAGTATTGTCAAGTTTTATTTTATTTGAAAAGTTTAAATATGAGCTACACTCGAAAATTCACTAAGTTTGACTTGAATTCGAAATAAAAGTTCAACTTGAGCTCGAAAAAACTTGAACTCGAAACATTTTAGTATAATATTTTTTAAAAAAGAGTAATAAGTATTAATATTATTAATAATTTAATTTAAAAAATTAAATTTTTTGTATAATATTTTTTCAAGTTGCTAACGAACTTGAACTCAAATTTTGACCGAATTGATTATTAACCGAATTTTGACCGAATCAAACTTGAGTAACTTATAATCTATCTCATTTCCTTTATAACCCTAGTTTGAACTTCTTTTTTTTTTAACAAAAACACAAACTATAAAACACTTTAGCCAACATACTGCAACACCCTAAGGACCATGATCAAGGCACAGAAAAAATCTTCCTCCTCAACATAAAACACAACCACCCAGCGTTTTCAGGACAAGTTTGAATCCCACCACAATAGGCAACTCCATTTAATGTAGCTTGAGTGATATGGTATCAAGATTTTTCAAAGAAACTCATAAGATAATTGATATATACATGAAACATTTATCTTATCTAATATTAAAAAAACGTACAATTTATCTACGATTTTGTATATTGCTAAACGATCTTTTTTAAGTTGTGTTCAGATTGTCTTTAAAAAAACAATTATGCATGATGGTGTTATAATCCAATTTTAAAATTTCTTTAAATAATCGTTATTTGTTGTTTTTTATTATCAAACAAGTGTTAATATAGTTTTGATTATTTAACAGTTTATCAATGTCTATGTGCACGATTTGCACATAAGATATGATGCTACGCAAAAAAATGCATATATCTTTGTAATTTTAAGTAAAACAATTTAACAAGTTTGTAAACACAAAATTTGAAGTTTATAATTTGATGACATACTAATCTTTTTTTTTAATCTCAAATCATAGTCGTCGAATCTTATTTGTATCTTTATGAGGTAGGATTAAAGACAAATATTTTTTAATATCATTATCGATGGATAGAAGACTTTATGCTTGATGATAGTAATAATATTGAACAAGTATAATTATTATATGCTGTTTGTTTGTATGTATTTGCTACTATCTCTCAATTTTCGTTGATTTATTAGGTATGTTTATCTTTACTCAGTTATTAGTATTGTGGGGGCAACATAAATACATTTTAGACTCTTTTAACGTCAATGAAAAACATAAAAGAATTATACACAATTTAATATGTATTTATTCATTTATTAGATTTAGTATGACGTTGATCAATTTTAAGTTTTATAAAGCATCCCGATGATTTATAAATGGATAAGGGCCAGGAGAGGCTTAGTCACTGTTAGTGTTGTTATGCCTTAGCTTGAGCACAAACATGTCAACATCGAGTCAATAATGCTATGTTTTAGATCAAAGGCATCATAATTTTGTAACTAGTGATGACATCTTAATGCTTTATAAATGGATAAAGATTTGGAGAGTCTTTGTATTTGTTAAAGATAGTGTGTATTAGCTTGAGTGGAGGTATCTCAATATTAAGTTAACAGTGGAGGAACTCTACGTTTTAGAGCAGAGGCTTTTCAATGCCATAATAAGTGGAGGCTTATTAATTGTAAGTGTCAATTTTAAACGGTAAAATTGTATAAGTGAGGCAGATGCTACAATCAAGATTTATTTTTCAACTATTTTACGAAATAAAGTATGTACTTGCATATGACATACTATATTTCGAGGGGGGGGGGGGGGGAGAATAAACGAAGGACGACCTCAACTACCTTACAAGTATGTTTCATCATTTTGTCATTTTAATAGGCCTACCTTCAAACCCTCCTTCGGCTCTCTTTTCAAGAGAATAAGGCATGTGTGTTCCCATAATTCTATCCCACATCACGAAAAACGGTTGAGAGAAATTATATTTGCCTCCATACAAATGATGATGAACATCATGGTAAGCCGAATTGTTGTTAAAGAAGATGTGGAACAAGTTCCCAGGAAGCCATAGCCCGCTATGGTCGTCCACTGATTTAATGGTGGCGAAACTGAAGAAATATATGGAAGTTCGAGGGGACATGCCGGATATCGAATACGACAACGCACCACCGATTATGTCGAAGACGAAAGCCTCCAGCGGGTGGTTGTAGATTGCTCCAAAGGCGTAGGGGACGACAAGTCTATGGTGGTGAGAATGGAAGCGTCGGTACAAGAACTTGTTGTGGTGGAAGTATCTGTGCATGAAATATTGCCATGTATCCAATACGAACATTGCGAGTATAAATTGTCTGGCCATAATAGTTGGGGAAATTGATTGACTTTTGGAAGCTCCTCCACCTTCATTCCCTATCACCTGCAAGAATCACCCACTTTCTAAAATGAAATACATATTTATGTTTTTTATTGATAAAATAATTATTCAAATCATACTTTTAGGAGTTTAAATGAAGCATTCGACGAACTATTTGTGAATCGTTAGTATAACGTATGTTTATGTAGCTAAATAAACGGGTATAAGCAAAATTTTTATGCTCATTTAATAAACAAACGAATATGAACAATGGTGTCTTTGGTTCGTTTATGTTCATGAACAAGCTTAGTTCGTTTATCGGCTCTTTTATAAGTCGGTTTACCTTGTTCTCCTTTTTTTTTTAAATACTAGTGAACGTAGGGAGTAAATTGTATATATGGTAAATTTTAGAGTTCAAACCGTGTAGCGTAAAAAACTTAAGGACAAATGATGTAATTTTATCATTTTTCTTTGACACGTAGATGAAAGGATAAAAAGAGAATGTTGGTTGTGAAATGTGTTTCTGAACATCAAACGAACATGTTTGCAAATATTAAATAAATATGTTTACAAATGCTAAACAAACGAACACTCTTAAAAATACACAAACGAATACGGACATGAAATTAAAAAATTATATGAACACGAACCAAACATAAAAAATGAATAATTTTAAAAATAAACAAACGAACACAAATACAACCTCATACGTTCAAACTCAATTTATTTACACCCCTACGTGTTCCCAGTAAATAAATTACAGCATTAAGAGGAAGAAACACTTGGTGATATACCAACCTTATACAGAAAGATGGCGAGAGTAGCCTGAATGGTTTGCTGGAAAAGAACATTTTTGATGACATTTGATTTGGACACCAAATTCTTGTCTTCCTCGTCTTTTCTTGAATGCAATCTGTAGTTGTGTAAGGACCCAAAAGCCATGTTTATAGCTGAATAAACCCAGTAAACTAAGATGGGAACAAAAGTTCCCAGCAATTCATCAGATATTGCCAAACCCATCTTTCTACTGCACAAATGGGATGAAGATGAATGAAGTGAAGAACAGCAATGATATTAATGGCCGTGCAATTTCTAGGAGCTGCCACTCGTCAACTTATATTGGCGAACAGATATAGATGAGACGACTTTGAATTCAATGTCAATCCCAATTAAATGCGGCTTCTTTAAGTAATGCAATGCTTCTCATCATAAAAAGTGTTAATATTGAAATTATACGTGATTTTTTATTAAATATATTTTATATAATTATATGTGAAATTTTATCTTAAATCATTTTCTATACGTGGTTCTTTTGTTCTTTTTTCACCTCTGTGAAACAATTTTACGAAATGATAAAAGATTTTAGTTCCATCATTAATTTTATGATTACCCCACGGCTCCACGCGTTCACCTTATTAATTATATACGGAATGAAATAAATGTGTTTTATCAAAACTTGATATTTTAAAATTAATTTAAAAAAATATAATTAAATGGTTTCAGTGATAAAAGTATATTTGTAGAGTTTATATACAATATCAATAACTAAGAATAATTTTAAATAAATACTATCATATAATCATATATAATTATTAAAAAATTAATTTTAAAAAGAGTAGTAGAATTATGGTAAGTATTTCCAGTAGCTGAAGTAATAAAAACGCGAAAAAGTTAATTGTGCCTCCCTGATGAGGTAGGTAGGTGGAGCTTGGTAGATGGTGCATTAAATTAGGCAATATCCATTGTTTTTATTATAGTGGGAATCAACGTATGATTTGTTAGATGAGATGAATTTATAAAATTAAAAAAAACAGTTTGTAAAATTTTAAGAATCACAAAAATAAATTTTTAATTAAAAATATAAAAAAATATTTAAATTATATAAAAATTTAAAATTTTTAAAGAATAACTGCCTCGTCGTATCCCTGCCCGGTGGTCGGAGAGTGGTAGGAGAGATGATAAGGTCCTTCACATGTCAATCTGCTTTCCTCGAATTGCATAACAAATGTTAAATGGTTTAATACACTGCTACATATTCAATGTAGCTTGGCCACGTGCATGATAGAGATAGACTTCGATTAGCTCAAAGTTTGTCCATCTAAATAATAAAGATAATTATTAAAATTACACCTGAATTTTAGTTAAATGTATATTTCTATATATGATTTTTGATTTTTTTGTTATACATATACAATTTTAATTTAATTTGATTGCGTGGAATTTTAATTTTGATTTAATTGAACGTGTTTAAAAAACAAATGTCTTTTTATTTTTGTATTAAGCAAGTATAATTGTTTATGTACATAGATATCTTAATAATAATTTATCAAAATTAAATGAAACCAAAATTTTATGTGTACAACGAAGGGCGGAATTAGTATGAAATTATGGGAGGGATCAAATTGTTTATCTTTGAAACTAATAATGTTCTAAAAAACAATTAAACCACAAAAAATAGATGATTAGGACTTAAATTCACTAATTTCAAAATTTTCATGTCCTAAAAAGTAATTAAACCAAAAAGTTAGAGGTAAGACTTAATTTCAACTTTAAAACCGATAATATCTTACAAAGTAAATAAACCAAAAAAATTTTAGGAGGCTCAAGACTTACTTTTAATGGTTTCAAAACTTTTAAAGGCTTAAAATATAATTAAACTATAAAAATTGGGGTGGGCTATGTCCCTTCCGGCCCCACATGGTTCCGCTATTGTGTACAACCAATAATCAATTAGTATAGTAAAATGAGACACTATATTTTTTAAGCAATATTAAGAGTTTAAATCTCGACGTTTGTGAATAGAGTAAATTGGATTGAAATGGTTGTCCCATAATGAGCCTATGAAAAATTTGATATGAATTAATCGGTTAATAGATCAAATACAAAAAATTAATTCCAAAAAAAAAAAGTTGCGTGTACAATTACATAAAATCAAAATTGTTTTTTATGATTGACGTACACGTACCTTGGTAATAATAAGATTGTTTTTTATGATTCCTTGTGGGTATTTATTTTTTTATCATTTATGTTCTAAAGTTTCGTCTTGATTAATTCGAATCGATCCGTATTAAACAATTAATTTTGAAAGATGAGTCTCCAAATAAAGATTTTATACATATATAAAAACTTGAATTTGAAAACTTACTTAAACGAAATTAAGTTACTTACTATTTGAATCAACACTTAATATATGTCATTACTACATCCAACCTCCACTTTTTTCCAATGTTTTGTTTTTGCTTTGGTCGGACCAATTTTTCCATTTGCACCTCAAAATTGATTTTTTTTTATTAAGTAGATACAATATTATAGGTAAATGTTGATATTCAGATTCTTATAAAATAAAATTAAATAAATATCTTTAATTATTTGATTAATTAATAAATTCCTTAAAATTAATCTTTGATTAGAGGAGGCGTGATATTTTACTTGATTTTATATTTAATGTGTCGTCCGATCCGCCAATGCGTAATAATTGTGGTGCAGGCCAGCTCTTTGTTGTTGGTTTGGGCTTTTCTACCTAAATATCACCTTAAATATCTAATATTCCAATTTTAACACCCCTCTTTCAATATTTTCCCAATTAACACTCATTCGACTGATGTGGAGAGAAAGTGCATTTCCAGGGAGCGCCTACCAGCTGGTATGGCGCCATGGTAGAAAGAACGTTTCAAGGGGGCTCCTTCTGAAAGCTCACGTGCTTTTCACTTGATTTTGAATTAGGGTTCTAGTTTATGGGTTGGGTTTAAAGGTGATAGTGGTTTAAGGTTATTAGAATTTGATAATTTATTATGTAAATGATTTCGGTTATAATTTAATAATGATTGAATGTATTTTTTTATTTTTTTTATTTAGGGTTGGAGTGATTTGGTTTAGATTGAAAAACATGTGAGAATTAACTGCTCTATTAATAGAAGGCGCACCCTCGGAAAAATATCTTTCAATGTGACACCAGAATCCCGCGAAGGCGCTCCCCCTACAAAGCGCCTTTTCCCGCATGCCAGTCCAGTCAGCAGAAACCCATGAAGGTGTGTCTCTTGAAATGCTCATTCCTCCTTGTCAGCAAAAATCCCGTTGAAATGCGCTCCCAAAAAAACGTCTTCCTTCCACATCGGTCGAATGGGTACTAATTTGGTAAATATTGAAAAAAAGTATTATACCGGGAATATTAGAAAAATAGGGTGAGGTAGAAAAACCGTTGGTTTGTCCTCTGAAAATTAAAAGGAAAAAACTTATAATTGCAATTATTTTTTAATAATCTCAACTGGTTTATCTGTCCTTTGTTCCAAAAGTGGTATGACATCAAGCTTTTGAGTAATCATATATTTAATCATTTAATTATTATTTTAATTTTATTTTAGTCACTCAATATTTTTTAAATCATCATTAACATTATATTTTAGTTTCATTTTAATCATTTAATGTTAAAAAATTAACAATGATATTAATGTTATGTGAATAATTCTATTAAATTTTTAATAGTAGATGATTAAAATAAAATTAAATGTAACATTAATAATAATTGTAAAAAACTTTTTTAAATAACTTAAAAAATAGTTAATGACTAAATATCTAGTTTAATTTAAGTTTTTTCTGTCTATTTATAAAGATATTTTTAAAATGATTATATGAATTAATTGGTTGAGTGAAGCTTTCTCTTGACTTAACTTGTAATCAATGAATAAAAAAAAGATGATTGACTAATAAGGGTTAGCTCTAATTTAATAACGTTTTAATAAGGTCTCGAATTCGAGTCATTACATATGTAGAAAATCTCTATTAGAAGATTCGTCCATTAAAATTATGTACGACATAAATTAATCTAAATTGGTCAAAACGAAACTTATAAATAAGAATGTAAAAAGAAATTTGACTCGAAAGCAAAAAGAATAACGAATACGGCATGTTCCCTCCTCCGACCTTGTCAAACTCCAAAAGCTGATTGAACATGTCGAATTTCAACATCATTAATTTCATCAACGCATACAAACCATTTAATTCAATTATGGGATAATGTTATATATTTGCAATTCCACACCGAAAATTTTGGGTGAAGAACCAGCCAGCAGTAGGGATGGCAACTCAACCCGAATCCGACGGGTTTCGATCTGATCCGATCTGATGAGGTCGGATTTTTTTAAAAAAAATTCGGGTTCGGGTCGGGTCGGGTTTAGGGTGAAAAAAATCCGACCCGACCCGATCCGAAAAATATATATAATTTTATCCTATATATTTAGGGATAATTATAATAATGTCCCTCCATATATATAATTTTTTTCAATTAAGTCACTGTTTTCATTGAATAAAATTTTTTTTATTATTATTTCGGGTCGGGTCGGGTCGGGTTTCTAAGTCATATATTCGGGTCGGGTCGGGTGAAACCTTAATTTCGTCGGGTCGGGTCGGGTCACGGGTGAAAAACCCTTTCTTCTCGGGTCGGGTCGGGTGACCCAAAAACCTGACCTGACCCGACCCATTGCCATCCCTAGCCAGCAGTAGTGGTTACCAAAAACAAACACGCCACTTCCTTCTGACATGTCATTTAAAAAAATCTATAATTAATATGGGAAATGATCAGGTGCGATAGATTTAATATACGTCTAAAAATATGCTATTGGTTTTATTATTATTATTTAACAAAATCGGTAAAAAATTATCGAAAATATTATTATTTCTATCAGTTTTGTTATTATTGGGTGTTTTACCGGTTTTATAAACAAATCCAGTAAAGTGCTACCGGTTTTGTTATTTTTTTATATCAGTTTTGTTATTATTGGACACTTTACCGGAATTGTTAAAAAGTATTAATATTTTAGATAAAAACAATAATCTTTTAGGTAATTTTTTACAAGTTTTGTTAAAAAATAATAACAAAACCAGTAGCACATTTCCTTAGATGTATATTAAAGGTGTCACACTGTATAACTTCCCAATTAATATGGTTAAGACTTAAAAAACCCTAGGCTTCTCTCCTCATGCGACCTTTTTTTTATCATCTTTGACCAGTATATCACGATATTAATTTTACTGTTAGTTGTTAATTATTAGTATTTTTTATTTATTTTTTATATCACA